CCTGCCTCTCTTGGGGAGACTCGTGCCCATGTTGTGTAAACAACTCTGCACGAGCACCTAAGGAGGCTTACCTCCTTACTAGCCCGTGGTGGCGCGTACGTGTCTCTACTGAGATGTACGAAGGGATTGACAACCTGAAATCCCTTTACGACCGTGCCGGGAAGACTTTCTCCGGCGGTCCTTCTGCGGCACAGGATGTGCCGCGTCGTACTGCTCAACCAGACCCAGTACGTCAACCATCAGTTGGGAGCGGGGCTCCCAAGAATCCCAGGACGGGGGATAGCCGCGCCACCGGACGAGATAACTCGTCTGACGTCCGTTCACGTCGCGGTGGTTCAACAGCTGCTCAACTAGATAGCGCTGGCCACCGCGAGAGTCCTCTAATGGAGGTGGAGGAGGAGGAAAGACGCTCTCCACACGATCATGTGGATCGGTGTGTTCCCGAGAGCTTCTTTGATCGCGTAACGCAAGGGTTACGCGACGATCTCGAGCATGAGCGGAATAGGCGTCTCCAAATGGCGGACACTGCCTCGAAGCATCGAGCTGAGTTTGCCTTTGCTCAGCTCGAGAACGCGAGATCTCTGACATCTCTTCGTGACGAGCTAAGGGTAGCTCGTGGGATTGTTGATCGGTCTCGGGCTGAGATAACTGCTCTTCAGACCCTTGTTGATGCCCACCATTAGGAGCACAAGGCTCTCTGCGAGATGCTTGAGCGCAAGGGCGTTCTTCATCGGAAGAAGCTGCGTACAGATGGTACGGCTTAAGCCGACCAACGTAAAACGTGGGATGCGTTAGCATCTTAAGTGGCAGTTCGATCGTGTATGAAGTGCCTAGGCGATGCAATAAACGAAATGGGCCGATGCACTTGGGTAGAAGTTTACTGCTACCCAAGTTAGTCACTACATGCTTTGGTAGATTAACCGTAGACAGTAGGACTAAGTCACATTTATTAAATAAAAGAGTGTTTGCCCTTCCATTCTTGTCAGCGTTTTGCTTTTGCTTATCCACCGCTTCGGCGATGGAGTCTTGCACAAAACGGACTACCGTTTCACGAGCCAGTATGAACTCATCTGATGACTCGTTAGCTTCAGTGTGCTGTGAGCGCACTGCAGCAACATCAACCTTTTCTTCAGTGAGGGCTTCCGCACTCTCACTGGGATCATCTTCTTCAGTGAGGGGCTTCCGCACTCTCACTGGCATCATCTTCTTCGATATCGATGTTATCGATATCGGCATCAACAAACGCAATGACTTCCTCGTCAGAGCGTGATGAGCGTGAACCAAATCGGTTTTTGCTCGCGCGAGTCCCCCCTTAAACCAGAGTTACACTCTAGTAAGGTGGGTACACCGCGGATGGCGCAAGCCATTCACGTAAAACGGTGTATGTGTCGTGGACGCATGCACCGAGTTGTTGATGGCAAACTCTACCATTGGCAAAAACTCACTCCAACTCTTAAAGGAGTGTACGTATCCTCGAAGTATCTCTTCAAGGACACGATTGGCACGTTCCGTCTGACCATCTGACTCTGGATGATCAGACGTTGACATCTTCAAGCGCGTTCCGAGTGATTTGAACACGGAACGCCAGAAATCAGCAGTGAATCGTGGATCTCTGTCTGATACGAGTTCACGGGGCAACCCATGAAGTCGGAAGATGGTGTCAATAAAGACACAAGCACAGCCACTTGCCGTGATTATCTCTGGTACAGCCACAAGGTGTACCATTTTGCTGAATCTGTCAACAAATACGAGAATACCCGTATTCCCGCGTGCGTCTTTGGGTAACCCGAAGACGAAATTCATTGAGATGGATTCCCAGCACTCTGCCGGAACTGGTAGAGGCTGTAAAGGTGCACGCAGTTAAGGACTTGACTTCACTCGTTGACAGACTTCGCATGCGCGAACGTACTTTCGCACAAACTGATACTGGCGGGGCCAGTAAAAGTCTCTACTTACCGTGAGATATGTTTCTCCCGGCCACGATGTCCTCCTATAGGAGCGTCGTGATCCTCGAACATGATCCGCAAACGCAGATCAGTATCATCTGGAATGACAACACGTGGTGTGTCACCAGAAACGGCTGTATAATACAGTAAACCGTTACGAGTAGTGTATCGATCTGATGCAGATTGATACGCAGGCGACAATCGTTTCAACGATTCTCGGGATGGTTGGGAGAGATGTGACAACAACTTCACTATCTCACCATCTTGGGCGTATGCCCGCCTCACATCATCATACAATGTTGTAGATGGGACTGAGGACGTCATAACCGCAACAGTGACTGTCTCACTGTTGGGTTTCGCGACTGGTTCAAAGTCGGGACGACGTGAGAGTGCATCAGCGACGACATTAAGTCGTCCTGGTTTGTACTCGACCGTAAAGTTGTATTCCGCAAAGAATGACAACCACCGCGCCATTCGTTGTGAAAGGTGCGGGCTGTTCACTGCCGTGCGTAATGACGCATGGTCAGTGTAAACAACGAAGGGTCTATCTCCTAATAGATAGACTCTGAACTTCGCGAGTGCATACTTCATGGCAAGGAGTTCCTTGTCATGCACTAGATAGTTCCGCTCAGCTGGTTGCAGCTGACGCGACTGATAGCAGACGACGCGTTCAACGCCTTCAAGATCGTACTGCATTAATGCACAGCCGATCGCGAAATCGCTGGCATCACAGACCACATGAAATGGCCTGTCCTGATCGGCTATTGCTAGGACTGGGGATTGTATCAAGCTCTGCTTGATACCCTCAAAGGAGCGTTGACATTCAGCGTTCCATAACCACCTCTCGTTCTTTTTCAACAAACGAGAGAGGTGCACAGTCATCTCGGCGTAATTGCGTGAATGCTTGTGCAAATACGCCGCTAGCCCAAGGAATTTTCGAAGACCTTTGACATCAACCGGCACAGACCAGTCGGTGATCGCCTTGATCTTTTCGGGATCAGGACGTACATCGTTCTTACCAACGATGCATCCAAGAAGTGGTATTTCGCTTGCTGCAAATATACACTTCTTGAGGTTAGCATACAATTGATGCTTTCGCATGATTGTAAGAACTTGTCGGACGTGGTACCTGTGAACCTCAACGTCCGACTTTCCATCCATAGCTCGACTCTGGATGAATACGTCATCGAAATAACTCGGCGCGAATTCTCGTACTGGTCTCAACAGATGTGATACACATCTGTTGAACGTGGAAGGGGCATTTTTTACTAAGCCCTTGTGGCATTACTAGCCATTCCTAGAGCATGCCGCTAGGCGTGCTCACTGCGGTATAGGGTATGTCCCGTTCTCGCATAAGGATTTGATAGAAGCCATCCGTCAAATCCATGGACGAAAAGATGGTACTCTTTGACATACCATCAATGATTACGTCCTTCCTCGGTATCGGCGTCTGAGCCGGTACCGTTGCAGCGTTCAATTTGTTGAACGCGTGCACTATCCGCCACCCTCCTGTCGCTTTTCGCACACAGAAGGTCGGAGAGCTATGTGGGGAAGTTGATTCCCTCACATGGCCCGCAGCTAAACGATCGGCAAAGAACTTGTCGATCGCAAGTACTTGTTCACGAGGCAGTGGCCACTGCTTCATGACACAGTACTTCGAGCCTGGTTTAAGCTCGACATCGTGTCGAATACCTTTATCCTTCGGTAATTCGCACGGAACCGTTTCAGGGAATACATCCTTGAATTCGACCAATTCTTTATAGAGAGGATTTGTCTTGAGCGATTCCCACGATTGGGAGTCGTATCGCTCAATTCGTGTCTTTTCATCTAGGACACTCTCGTCCATAGATGAACTACTGAGAACTCTCTCGTTCTCAGTGAACACTGTTGCTGACCCTATGTCGGCTACACACTCGTCGTCAGCGACGATTACGCAGATCTGCTTGACTTTGCCACTACGCAGATCACGCAAGAACCTTTTATGTTCGAGCGTTGGCAACTGAGTGATCTCCGAAGTTAACTTCGGAGGCGCAATCAGATCAAGTGTATAAGCGCCTACAATTGATTCGTTATTGACTATGACATTCAATGTCTCTGTCATTTCCTGGGGACTTATTCCCTCAGGCCTCGAAGGACTTATTCCTTCGGCTTCCCGGGGACTTATTCCCGCGGGTTTCGGGGAACTTATTTCCGCCGTATTTGTAATCTTGGGACTTATTCCCTTTACTTCCTCTAGCTGGGGTTGCGCAACCACAGCGAGATCCTCTACGAAAGACTCTCCAGTCGATCTAGGATTATCGTTTCGCTTAACCTGAGCGATCGATTGTTTCTCTTCTAGATGTTCCCCGCTAGGGAAACATCTTTGTCCCAGTCCACCCGACTTGTTCGAGTGGTGGACCTTCGGCGCAGCCTGTGTTTCCTCACAGCCGCCGGAATCTTGCTCCGAAGCGTAACTGTTTGTTACACTAAGGTTTTCTGCAGTCGTACTAACGACCGTACCACAAGTGAGGCCATCGCACTCACTCGTAGTACATCCACACGCTTGTGGACGCTCCAAAACGTTCATCAGATGGCCATCTGATGAACAAGCGGCAGGCATCGTTACTGTTCGATGTTGCCAGTTTACCCGTGGTTCGTACCTTCTGAGACACGGTATTCCAAGGATGACATCAAATTTGTCATCCAAATCCAATACGATAAAGTCATCGTCATATTGGGTATCTTCTAGCGTATAGTGGATCTTCACTATACGCTTCATGACGGTTACGGATGCGCCTGTCGCAAGACGTGCCGTCATCCTCGTAGGAGGTGTGTCACATTCACTGAATTTTAAGTGACCATATTCTAGCGATTGGCGTCGCACAACATTGTTGGACGCCCCACAATCGACTAGAGCTCGAAGGGACAACTTATTCGTCACTTCGAGTTTCAAGGTAATGAGTGAGACCTCATTACCCAGAGCAGCAACGCACAACGTTTGTGTGTTGGGAGCAACCTTCATCAAGAGGCCTACAAATTCTCTTGACGTTGCTAGACCAGTAGGGTGCTCCGCACCTACTGATCCTGTCCATTTGTTGACGTTCCATCCCGTTGTTGCGTCTTTGCACCAACAGCGGAACCTCGTCCCTGTTCCTTTCTCATGGGTGGACGGTCACTACGCCCAGTGTCGCGAGACACTGGACGAGGGGCACTACACTCGTAAGCGTAGTGTCCTGTCTTTTGACATCTGTTGCATCTCTGCAACTTCTTGTAGCCTGTAGAGCGAGCCTTCTCGATCTCTACATAACAGAGTTCCATCGGCTCTGGACCTCCGCTGTCATATCGTCTCGGTTGACGATATGATGTCGAGCTGGCGCGAGCCTGTCTCAGACTGAAGTCTTCCTGCTCCGCAATGGAAATGGATTGTTCTAGTGAATCTAGTTCAAGCCGGAACAGGTGAGTCTTGACGGGACCATCCGCAAGACCCTGCGTGAACACCGAAACCAACGTGTGTTCATCCACCGGATTGGAACTTATACAACTCGTAAGATGTCGTTTATGTTGCGCGTAAGCGTGCACATCACGCTTACCCTGTTTGAGCTTCAAGAGTTCGGTTCGAGCTCTGAACTCAGCTCTAGGCGGTTCAAACGTTTGTCTGAGCCGCGACTTGAAGACTTCCAACGACCCAAACGCATATGGGTCGTGCAACTTGAGCCCCAGTGCCCAAGTCTTGGCACGTCCTGCCAGATTTGACTGGGCAAATGCAACTTGCATATCCCTTCGTCGATTCGACGCGCCCTTATGGCGTCATCCAATTCGACGAACCATCTCAAGAGGGAGTCTTCTTCGACCCCCCTATACTTTGAGATGTCAATCTTCAAAGTCTCGGGTCGACACGAGTGCATCGGCCCGCCCGCAGCAGCCTGCTGCTGTCTCAACAGTTCAAAAACTGTTGAGCACCCTGTTCTCTCAACAACTCTGCTTGTTGAGAACCTTGTTGGTGAAGCAAGGCTACTTTCTCACGTTCTGCGTCAAGTTCATTTTGAATGAACTTGGCGATAGTAGCATGTTGGGCATCTCGATTGAGAGCCTCTAGCATGACGCTAACAGCATGGATGCCCATGGTTGAACCCATTCGTTCAACCGCGTCCCATTCGACATCGCTCAAATGGGAGTAGCCGTCACGCGTAGCGTGAAAGCTTTGGTCATCTTCATCATCCAACATATTCATGTTAGATGTGAACGTGGTCCTTGGACGGACTACGAAGTGCTACCAGGTGTAACGGGGCACCCTGAAGCTTGTACTGGTGACAGTACAAGCTACTTATTCTGATGACAGAATAAGGCGGTGCCTCGGAACTTCACGTACACTGGTACGTGCAGAGGAAGACGGTAAGAAGAAGCGAGTACTTGGTTAGAGTAAAAAGTAGAACTGTATTTACAATAGTTAATGTCTGCAATAAATCACTATTTATCTTCATCTAACTATGTCTAAATACAAATGTGTAAAACAGTTATCTGCTCACCACTCATTGCGTGCGTCTGTCGTGGCGCGTCTTCGTTGGTTGATATAATGGCCTATATCAACCAATTAGGAACTACTCGTAAGTGCTACAGAATATTTGTCCTTATGACAATATTCTGAGAATATGACTCTTATAGTTATATTCTATTAACAATTTCTCACAAATTTTTATGTACGATTCACCCCGTTATAGCAGGTCAGTAGATACCGGCATTTCAGCGCCTTCGCTGCACTTCTTTGCTCTGAGTTTCGGTGACTTTAGCTGTACATTGAGTCGAGAAGTGCCTGGTACTTGTTGTCCACGATGCGACGGCATACAGCACCTGTATCCGGGTCCAGCTCGCCTGACTCGATGGTGAAGTCGGCAGCCATCAAAATCCATTTGCGGACACGATGACCGGATATGGAACAGACTTGGGGCAGTTTTTCCAACACATTGTCAAAATGTACGGCCCACTGCTGGCAGCGGATCGCTTCTATTACTGTGGACGCAGCACTGCCAATACTGCGACTCACTTTCAATGCATCCTCGTTCAGCAGTAGACCCCTGGCGTGATTATTTGCTGCTGTTGCTGCGCGATGACCCACTTTGTTAGTCTTAAGAAAGAGGAGTGCGCTCAAAAACGTTCGGCCGTCGCCCACCAACATGGCGCGGTCAAGCTCCGGCATCAGTTCCATCATCGAGTACTCAAAAGGCTGGATCGGGACCCAGTCGCCCGTTGCGAGCACAATAAAGTCTCGCGGATCACTGATTTTGAGGAAACAAGTCGGGGTCAGAAATCCACGCTGCCAGAGTCGAAGCCATCCATCCGGGTCAGACATCGACGTACATTGACCACCCACGCTAGCAACACCAGATCCAGCCACCTGATTCACACGTCGAGGTGTACTCCTTCGATAGTCTGGGAATACGTTATGGCCGCGTAGTACTGTTTCCTGAGAGCGTTCGTCACAGCGAATCGTGGTGCCGGCCAGCGCGCGACCTGAGCTACCGAACTCCCAGGCGTGCGGGAAATTGATCGCAGCAAATCCAGACGTTTCAACAGTACCAAAGAGCTGGTAGATCGGTGTATCGACCGTTTTAAAAAGCCGCTCCAGTTCGAAGTCGAGCGGTGCTAACACGGAGTAGCAGGCAGCACAACTTTTGAGTCCAATCTTCTTCTTGATGTTGTTTAGTACAAGCGCCTTGGCAACCATGTAGCCTAAACTGCGGCGTCTGGCGCCTTTGCCTTTAGCATAAAGCAGCTTCTGTGAATTATTAGTAGCGCGTGTTTTGGCCCAACGATAAATTGTCGCATTCACGTCGCCTTTAGCGCAATAGACTTGCTGACTAAAGCGCGTCCAAGTCGCTGGTGCTGCAAAAAACACGGTTGGCTTGTGCTCTGTAACTATTCGTACAAGGGGCAGATCATACGTTGGCGCACAAACCACCATTAGTCCTGCAATAAGCGGCACGTAAAACTCCAGCACCTGCGACGCCACGTGATGCAGAGGTAAGTATCCCACGAGGCGATCGTGACTGGTCAAACCAAAGCTTCGGACCAAGGCAGCTGCTGTAAATATGACATTGTCATGCGAAAGCTCTGCACACCGGACGCAACCCCGACTGTCGTAGTTAAACGCTAGCAAGCAGCATTGGCCTGGCAGCACTTCAGATGCTAGTGAATCAAGCGAAGACGCCATAGCAGCCTCCTCAGTTGCGGGTGTGTTCACTGCGAGCAGGTCTTGTGTTCCAATAACGTTGATACCGCTGACACGCAGATCCATGACAGCAGAGTCCATTGCAGCTGAGCCCCCGAGCACCACTACGGCACGAATAGGCTTTCCAATAGCCTTACGCTCATCACATAAAGCTTCCAGCGCTTCTCGAAAGTTGTTTCCGAGTGAGTCAACAACCACAACCGATGCTCCGGCCGTCGGCAAAATGTCGTCCCGAAGTTCACGTGCACTCCACGAGCTGCGAACATGAGCGACTACGCCACCCAATGATACAGCTGCAAGATTGATTGCATGCAGTAACGGGCTAGCTTGTGCACAAATGACCACTCCTTCTCTTGTTTGAAACCCCAATCGTAACAATGTCCTTGCCACACAACGTACACGCACGGCATGTTGTGCCCACGAAGAGACTGCGTGTGTCGTGGGCAAACCATCCAGCATCTGCACACCACGGCTGGCCCGAGCAGCGACTTGTTCCCGCCCAGTAACTGCCGGCACATCTGCAAAGATGTCTATAGTCTGCAGGAACGTGTTCCACACGGTCGTTGGTGTTGCCGTCACGAGCGCTGCAATCGTCGTACTATCGTCGCCATTCTGCGCGACACTCAGTGCTCGACCCCATACACGTCCAGTGCTGCCTCGTTTAGTAGTACCATCAGTAGTGAAAGCGGTGCTAGTAGCAGTAGCTGTAGTAGTAGTTTTCCCACGCGCCTCTCGAGTGTCGGCATAGAAACCATTGTTGAAAAAGCACTTGGGTTTTAGAAAGCAAAATGCAATGTGAATATGTTTAGGTCCTTAGTTCGCAATCTCTTTTACTAGTCTAAGCCTACTGGATTCTTTCAACAGCACAATCGTAATCGCTGTATCGCGCATTGCTAATCGTGTAGTCGCGTATTAGTAATCGCTACGTCGCGCATTACTTATTGTCTGCACGTTCATTCTTGTGGTTGCCGTTTGCATGCCGAGTCGCTTCTTTTACAAAACTCCCACTCAACTCGGTAGCGACACCGACAGTGATGCCGAGTTTAGTACGGAGGATGGTAAACTGTGGCGCTGCGATTGCCTTGGTCATGATGTCAGCGAGCACATCTTGCGTCGGACAGTACTGTAGCACGACTTGATTCTTTTCGACCTTTTCTCGCACGAAGTGGTAGCGAATGTCGATGTGCTTGGTGCGTTTGTGGAACTCTGGGTATTTGGCCAACGCAATAGCACCTTGATTGTCTTCATAGATAGTTAAGGTGTCATCGCCTGCTTCTTCGCCAAGCTCACGCATGAACGTCTTGAGCCACGTCGCTTCTTGGGTCGCCTCCGACAGTGCCATGAACTCTGCTTCGGTAGACGAGAGTGCCACGCTGCGCTGTTTCTTGCTACGTCAGCTGATGCAGCCGTTGTTGAGCACAAATACGTAGCCGCTGGTTCTTCGTCTAGTATCGATATCTCCAGCCCAGTCGGCATCGGAATAGCCAAGCAACTAGCCATTGCCAGCGCCAATAAAACGAATACCAAGTGTAGGAGTCGCTTGCAGGTACCGTAGCACGCGCTTGAGTGCTTGCCAGTGTGTCGGACACGGGTCAGCAGCAAACTGGCTGATCACTCCCACTGAAGCTGCGAGGTACATCAAGGCTCCGACGGCACTTCGGTATCGCACTCCTTGCATGGTGTAGTTGTGCTTGCATCCATCTTTGCACATGTGCTTAGTCAACTTCAGTCCGGGATCTTGCGGTGTCTTAACAGGCTTAAAGTCTTGCATACCGAACTTGGTCAGAATCGATCGCAAGAACTTAGTCTGTTTCCTCGATACATCGCCTGACTTGTCATCGCGCTCGACTTCTATTCCGAGGCAGTACTTAAGCTCACCGAGATCGGACATCTCGAATCGCTCGCTCAATGCACGTTTGGTGGCTGCGAGGATGTCCATATTGTTGCATGCAAGGATGAGGTCGTCGACGTATATGACAACAAACATCATGACCTTGTCGTCACGCTTGGCGTAGACACAGTGATCCATATCGCACTTGGTGAAGCCAATATAGCGCATGAACTCATCAATAGTCTGGTTCCACATACGAGGGGATTGCTTGAGTCCGTACAACGCACGCTTGAGCTTGCACGTATGATGAGGATGATTGACATCGACGAATCCGTCAGGCTGCTTCATGTAGATCTCTTCTCCAAGCACACCGTTAAGGAACGTCGTTTTGACGTCCATCTGGTGAAGTACGAGGTTGTGCTGCGCGGCGAGGCTTACAATGATCCGGATCGACGCGAACTTGGCCACTGGTTCGAACGTCTCCTCGAAGTCCACACCGTACTTTTGCAAATATCCTTTTGCCACGAGGCGCGCTTTATATCGCTGGATGAGTCCATCAACAGTCTCCTTTACCTTGAACACCCACTTGCTGCTGATCGCCTTGCGATCACTTGGTAACGGCACGAGTTCCCACATGTTGTTCTTGCACAATGACTGAAACTCTGATTCGCACGCTTCTCGCCACTTTCTTGCGTCGCTGGAATCCATAGCCGATGAGAATGTCATCGGCACTGCTCCCACTGAATCCACGACGTTATCACAGTCTTCTTCATCTTCTTCTTCTTCATCAATAGATGCGAGAAGCGCCGACATGGCTTCGAGTGGTGACGCAGTTCCTTGCACTGACGATGTGTGCACACCACTCATAGCGTTTTTCCACTGGTGGCTCTGACAAAGCTTCTAGTGACTGTGTGCGTACAAGTCTTTTCGACCCCGGTAAAAACTCGTCTGTCTGCTGCTGCATATACTACGGTTGATGACTTGAACGCCGCATTTGTTGCCAATGTGGCCTCTCATGGATCGATGCTGATTCGGGCATATGCGCATCCATGTCTTCATTGGCAACCCCGTTGTCACGGTCGTTAAAGCCTTCATCAGTGTTATGGTACTCGATAGGGTCGATGCCACTTTGTTGCATGTACTTCCCGCTGTCGAACATGTCTTCCATGAATTGGGCGTCGCGACTCACTAGAATGCGACTGCTTGATATCTCTTCAAACCGGTACGCTTTTTCGTGGTCTGAGTAGCCCAAGAAGCGACACAACGTCGATCGCGCATCAAGCTTCGACCTCTTCTCTTTCGGCACATGCACATATGCTTGAATTCCAAAGACTTTCAGGTTTTTCAACAACGGCTTCGTCTTCGTCCATACCTCATGCGGGGACTTTTCATGGCCAATTGCTTGCGTTGGGCATCGATTGCGTAGGAACGCTGCCGTTTACACTGCTTCGCCCCAGTAGCGCTTGATTAGTCCCGCATGCTCAATCATGCATCTAGCACTCTCGACTAGAGTCCTGCACATTCGCTCCGCCACTCCTTTAAGTTGTGGGGTGTACGGCGGCGTAAATTGCTGTATGATGCCATTGTTGCGACAGAACGCGGCGAACTTGTTGGACACATATTCTCCACCGTTATCGCTGCGGAGCATCTTGATGCGACGAACGGTCTGAGTCTCGGCAAACTTGGTGAACTGCATGAATTTGCCTAACACTTCAGACTTGCTGTGAATTAGGTGCACAGTACAAAACCGCGACTTGTCGTCGATGAACGTCACAAAATAGCGCTTGTTGGAAAATGTCGAAGTCTGCATTGGTCCACATACATCGGAATGCACGACGTCAAGCAGGTCCTTGGCTGGTTTACGTGTAGTTGACTGAAAACTCACTCGCGTCTGCTTTCCGAGCGCGCATCCGTTGCAAAGCTCCCACTTGTCTACAGATGTAATGCCGATGCCGACACCGAGATTCTGCTTCACGATCGCGTCGAGTCCACGATGGCCAATGTGACCAAGAAGCAGATGCCACAAGTATGACTTTCTCATCCGAGGCTTGTTGGATTCACTTGCGTTGCTCGCGCTCTCGACTTGCACAGGTGTCATGCATAGTTTAAAAAATCTTTGCCGGCACGCTCGCCGATCTTCCACTTCTGGTTCTTAAAACTGCATAACAGGTGCTCGTATCAAACGTCACTGTCGCGACATCCTTCGTGAATCGGCCGACTGAGAACAGATTGCGTGAAAGCTTTGGAATGTGCCACGCATTCGTAAACACACCCTTCTTGACACCACTTGAAGTCTTCATCATCATCGCTACGTTGCCGGTCCCAATCGCCTACACGACCCCGTCATCTGCGAGATGAATGTTAACTGAATCGATGGTCTTGTAGTTTGTCATAAACCGCTTTGAGAATGACATGTGCTGCGTCGCACCAGAGTCTATGAGCCATGCTGGATTCTTGACGCTGTCGTTGTCGTTGCTCTCCAATCCAGCTGCAAACAGGAAATCGTTCAAGCTTTCATCTTGGTTTGCGCCACATTCGCACGCTGCGGACGCTGCCGGTCCGCGTTGTCATGGATCCGCGAGTTACATTCCGCGATCCAATGACCCATCTTACCGCAGTAGTTGCACCGCGCCAGTCTTCTTGAATGGCCGTCCACTACGCTTCTTCTCACTTGTCATGAACGCTTGACCTGCAGCGACCCCGTCACTGCCTTGCTCCTTGCGCTTCATGTCTTCATGTAGCAGCCTGGATGTCACCAGTTCCCACGACAGCGAGTCGGCCCTTGACTCCAAAGCAGTAATGAGAAATGCAAACGACTCACTTAAGCTTCCAAGAAGCGTGATCACCAGGTCGTCTTCGCTGACCGGAGCACCCACCGCGTCGAGTTGTTCCGCCAGTGTCTTTATCCTGTTAATGTGCGAAAGCACATCATCGCCTTCCTCCATCTTGGCCGTGAAGAAAAGGCGACGAAGAAAGAGCTTGTTGGCTAAGCTCTTCTTCTCAAAGTGGCCTTCCAGCTGCGACCATGCATCGTACGCTCCACTTGCCGACCGAACCAGGGGCAGCTGCGAGTAATCCATCGCAAGACAGATTATCGCGAGCGCCTTCTGTGACTTGTGCGCTTGAACGTTGACTGCTCCAGCGTAGTGGCTAGGTGTTCCAGCTTGATCTCCCCGCTTGTCACTTCCCAAAGGTCCCGCTCCTCCAGCACCATCTGCATTTTGAACTTCCAAGTGTGGAAGTTCGTACCATCAAACTTGTTGATGCGAGCGTTGGTGGCGGTGGCAGCGTCCACGTTAAAGGCAAAGTCGGCGTCGGGGGCAGATCCAGCAGAGCTTGGGCTCATAACCTGTTAAAAAAGCACTTGGGTTGTAGAAAGCAAAATGCAAAGTGAATATGTTTAGGTCCTTAGTTCGCAATCTCTTTTGCTAGTCTAAGCCTACTGGATTCTTTCAACAACACAATCGTAATCGCTGTATCGCGCATTGCTAATCGTAGTGTATCAGTAATCCTATGTCGCGCATTGCTAATCGTGTAGTCGCGTATTAGTAATCGCTATGTCGCGCATTACTAATCGCTACGTCGCGCATTACTAATTGTCTGCACGCACATTCTTGTGGTTGCCGTTTGCATGCCGAGTCGCTTCTTTTACAACACACATTACCTCAGCATCACCACCAAGTCTAATGGTCGGTAGACCACGAGTTCACAACTCTTTAGAACCTCTCGAAAAGTCCAGCTGGTATCCGTGGAAACTCGAGCACCAACTAGCAACAAGGGCTTCGTCTGAAGTAACAAGCAGAAGTTTGTGATTTCTCCGCGCATAAAAGTGAGGAATTACTTCATCAGCGTATGATCGTCTTCGAGAGGGTGCCCTTCATGGTAGCCGTTGTGGACGTCGAATGTAGCATCAACGAAGCAATGACGCAACGAGCTGCAAACAGCCGCCACCTGGTATGCACCATACGGAAGGGGTCGTTGGTCGTCTTTTTTGGCATTCGTGAGTATAGCGTGTCAGGCGGGGGGGTTGGAACAGAAGACATTGTTGCGGTGATTCGTATTGTTAGGGGTGTGTTAGCATCTGACGTAGGGGGGAAGAGAACCGACAAAGGAGGGGCTGTTTCTTCTTGCCAGGCTGTCCATCTGCTAGATGATAAGATAACAACGAACGGGACGGTAGAAGTCGTCTAGCAAATGCTGATCAAAACCGATGTACTTGACTTCGAACAATGTGTGACGTAGTACAAGACATCGGACATCAGAGACAACAAAGTGAGAGTGTGACGGAGTACAAGATATCGTGTTCCTCATTCAAGATGTCGTGTTCCTCATTCAAGATGTCGTGTTCCTCATTCAAGATGTCGTGTTCCTCATGCGAGATGTCGTGTTCCTCATGCGAGATGTCGTGTTCCTCATGCGAGATGCCGTTTTCTTGATTGTATAGTGGCTCAGTATGATGCTGGACACAGCACCGGGACAGTAGTTGGCTGGGGCGCACCGCTACGGTTGGTACAGTTCCAGCATGTTTACACCTGTTGGTGTATACTGCTCAGTCCAACAGAGGGGGTTGTCACCTTCGAGTTTTTTTTCTTCCTCAATCTTAAAGTGAGAGAGGCTCAGACTGTCCGTTGTTATAGCTACTTTTCACTAAAATGATGTCTGGTTGTGTGGTAACCATCTCGAGTCATCGACCACGATACAGTCTTACGACTCCTAGCTTTCTTATGTCTGGTTGTGTGGTAACCATCTCGAGTCACTGACCATGACACAGTCTTACTACTCCTAGCTTTCTCATTCTGCTGGCTCAAGTCGTTGGGCGTCACGGCGGGGCACTCCCGAAAGTGCCCGTGGAAACCGTCCGTTGACTAAGTCCAGGGTTGGATTCTCGTGTGCACTCTACCGGATGGCGCGGCTGCTCTCGCGCTCGGGGCAATTTGATTCAGGGGACAGAGGAAGCTTGACTAGGACTCCTGTTGCTACTGCGGTAGTTTCAGTGAGCCATCTTGACTTAATTTCTGGTCATCACCTAGTAGTCGACTTCTTGCTCTTCAGGTCGGCTCGGGCTCACAACGTGCTCAAATGTGCCCAGACGCACCACTAAACGACGAGTATCTGGCTCGGTGCTGCTGTACATAAAGAACCGGTACTGGATCTCAACGTGAGTCATCACGGTCTTGGGGGAGTTCTCTTCGTGGAAACGGGCTCGTGCTCAGCGAACGTGTCGGCGAGTTGTAGGCAGACCGTGAAGGGTAGGAACTTCTTCGTTTTGCAGGGTGATTCGATTCATTGTCGACGTGCCCTGCACCAGGACCACTCCTGCGGGACATCGACACTCACCTGCGCATTGTGGCAAAATGTTCTTGACGATCAACTTTATTTGCGTCGTTGTTGAACCATTTTGAGGAACTTCAACGAGTGTAATTCGGACGCGCTGCAAGTGCATTGTAGGACTAAGAGCAGGAAGCGCACCAAATACAGTCAACTGTAAGTTTAATGACAACGAATACAACCAAAGACAATCAACTCGTCTCAATCCGATTATTTACTACGTTTCTAGTACCAGTGCTCATGGTCAACTTCGAGGACATCTTGTTGATAACTTCAGATACCCTTTCTCACCTGCATCAGTAGCTGTAGCATGCAGGAGAGCGAACAATACTCTTGAACGTCAGAATGTATACACGTAACATTCTTCCAATGAAAGTGTCTCTGAGTACACCGAGCGCATTCATGATAGCCAGGTCAAAAATCAGTTTGGTGAAAGGGAACGTCTATGAAATAACAAGTAGTTTAAAAACAATGCCAACGAGACTTCGTTTCGGTGGAAGCGTGTGTGTCTCCAGTATGTTTTGGTGTGGTCGCTTTAGAACTGCGCCGCCGACACCAGCAATTGCAGCTGATATACCGTCATCGTTACAGCCACCTGTGGAATCTGTGCCCGACTTAACAGCAAACACAGACGTAATTGGGGCTGTACAGAAACAACTATTGAAGGTGGGGGAGAGTCTGTCAAGACTATGACGAAGCTTCGGGATGCAGGACAAGACAGCGCGCGGTAGGCAATTGTGTCGCAATAGAAGTCAGCATAAATTGGTCTGTGGCAACGAGCTCACGAAGTGCCAGGTATGGGATTTGGATCGGAAAGAAGTGTGACAGCTACTTCTTTATTTCACTGCGAGAGAAAGTGATTTTGGGTGGAGAAAGCTATTGTGCTTCCGTAGTGTGAAGAAGGCCATGCAACATATCTTCTAACTATGCCCATGCGCGCAAACCTGTTGTTGACAGAAGCTCACATGTCATCGGACAGAAGATCACCGGTAGCTGGAAGGCTGGATGTACGGCTCGCACATAGTGCACGCAGACAGGCACCGAAGCTATCCAAACGTCATCATGGAACTCCCACTCCGAGGCTACTCTGACGAGGTGAAAGAGTAGGTGTATGTATGGAAGCAACTGGGGCGTATCCTGAGCATTGTTTCTATCCCTAGGTTGTGACCACGACGCGGTGGGGTATCGATCCTACACGACGACGTCTCCGTCGAAGGCAGCAACAGGCACGCAGCAACTTCAAAGGTGTAACAAAGTAGGAGTACCGGCGGATGACGCAAAATAAAAGGAGCACGTCTACTGTAAGGACAGGGGCAGTTGTTGCATCAGGGAGCTACAAACGCGAAATGATATCCAGAATACATGTACCCTAGCCTTCGACTTGTGTGATGCAACTAGCAGCTGTTCTTCGCCCACCCCTTCGGAGGCTACATGAAGCACAATCAGGCCTCAGTAACAAGCCACGTCCCATCGCCCATTGCCACGTCATCCATCATCTCTGACGTGTCTTGCGTACTTATGCATTGGCGAGTTCGGCTATGCATGAGGACATTGCAGCAAGATAAATATGGTCGAAGAAGTGATGTTCGATGATATTTGAATGCGACAATAGTGGCGTCCAAGAAAGTTTAAGGGATTGGCTGCTGCATGTTGTGGGAGCTCATTCAAACGCCCAAGCACCAGAAGCCTCATGATGACGAGTCATTTGCGCAATCGAGCACAAAAAGCTTGCGTGCTAACTGAATATCCTGCCTCAGAAAGCACGGAGCGCCAGAGCTTGTCAAGCACTCAAAGTGACAAGTTTATCAGGACAGCAATTTGTGTGCTGTTTGAACCTGCACTGGTGGAAGTTAGCACACTATGGCAGAGTACGTTTTCGGACGGTGGTCATTTGAGCACTGTGGTGAGTTCAGACAGGAGTGTCATTAATGTGTTAACTGTTAGAAGATATAGCTTTTAACAGGTTACGTCGGTGTAGTGGCAACTGCAAGACCTGTTACAGGTTTAGGTCGACCTCACCTGATTGGTCGACAAGTTGACGGTGGGACGTGACAGGTTGACATATGGGACGCGAGAAGACGATCGTCATGTCGGACTATCAAAGACAGATGGTAGGAGAGACAGAGACATACAGACGTCATATGGAACCAGGACCAGCACATGGGATGGGCACGCTGGACGTATGCCAAAGTACAACTTGACCAGGTCAAGTTGCAGTGCTGGTGCAAATACATACAAATAGGGTTGACTAGGGAGAATAGTTAAGCACCCAATATATTTCACTTTTACTTCCTACATCCTTTGCACAAGTGCAAGAGTTACCAACATCTAACAGGTTATGAGCCCAAGCAAACGTGTTGGTGGTGCAGCTGAATCAGCTGCACATACCGTGGTGGTCGACGACCATCACCTGGAAGAAAAGTCGGCAGCGCTCTCGGAGGCGATCGAGAAGATGCTAGCCATTCTAGGAGACGTTTCCGAAAGGATGAACCGGATGGAGGTCTCCCAGAGAGAGCAAGGCGGCAAGAACTGGCAGGGATCACCCGAGTCGAGCATGGCCAGTCGGCAACAGGAGGTCGGGGCAGGGATTAATCTCCAGACTTTGGACCGTACCCCTCCTAAGGAATCCCCAAACGTGTCACCAGCAACCTATTTCGGCATTCGGCGACAACAACAGGCAGGTATTGAAGGTCCTCACGCGAGAAAAGCAGAGGAAGGAGTCAACATAGGTCAGGCATCCGTCCCTGGGATATACCGGGCAGGTTTACCTGAAGGACGCTACCCCGGTATGGGTATGCCTAACGGGGGGGGGTGTTTACCCTGGGCAGCCGGGAGTCGGTATGCCGGACGCGCAACAGCGGAAGCTTGCGTTGCAACCTTTCGACGGAAAGGAGCTCTACCACGGCCTTGGCTGTGGATTCATGGAGTTGGGCAAGGAATTTGTCCGCCAAGTCAGGTTCGCAGAGCGTGCATGTGGTTTCGTGTGGCTGGAAAATATCAAGGTTGATGTTCTAGGTCAGCACCTAACCGGTAAGGCATAGACGTACTATCGTCGGCAAGTGGAAACGTGGTGGTTTGAAAACCAAACCCTGGAACATGCGATGCAGAGACTACTGCAGACCTTCACGACGAAGATCTCGCCAGCACAAAGCATGAAGTTGTTCACAGCACCCAAGGCACCTCACCGAAACTAGACGGATCATTTTCTGTGCTTGACGGCCGTCAGCGATGCCTGTGGAGGTGCAGACAGCCTTGTTCTGGACAACATCGTTCATTATGCTGACCCACACATGCGAACTACGATGTTGTCCAGATTGGACATTCATCGCACCGATTACCTGCGGCAAGCAGAAGAGTTGGCGCAATTTGCCCAATCGACGGAGGTGGACACTCACTCGAAGAGTTTTGGACGCGATGTGGTGAACACTGTCGAGGTTGCGCAGGAATTCAAGGACAAACACAAATCAAGACCGTCGCTACCACGCACCGACACCCGGACTTGTTTCAAATGTGGAGAAGTGGGTCACATTCGTTCGAGGTGCCCCCAAATGAAGAAGAAGCCCTCGGGTGCGAATTTCGTTTTCACGGTTGGTCGCGGTGCGAGTCGCTCGCCCGGACAATGGATTCTCGACAGCGGTTCGAGTAGACATTTGGTCAATGACCCGAGTCTGCTGACTGATCCGATTGATTGTCGCAGCGAGTGCATGACTGCAGCCACTGATGGAAGTGCGCTGCGGATCACCCTACAAGGAACTGTAGACATCCAAGTCGTTGCACTTGGAGTCGTGAACACAGTGAGGCTCCTCAATGTTCAGTATGCGGAGAACCTCGAGCGTAACATCCTTTTCTACGGATTGCTCGAGGCAAAAGGTTGCGTACTGGAATATCGAGGAGGGAGGCGCGTGTTGTCTTCCGGTACGGGCGGTACACCCATCATGGATGTGGAATGCTGCAACAACGTGTTGGTTGTCGCGGTGACAAACCACAGTGATCGTAATTCCAAGCCACCACAAGAGGCACTGATGACTGTCGTCAACCCACCTGAATATGAATTCGATTCGGATGTTCTATGCGGTACCTTGATGGACTTTCATCGGCGTTTAGGACACCTTTGTTTTGACACGATCGTCAAGATGGCGAACGATCCGGCATCATGCATCCGACTGACTGATTCGACACGTCAAAAGTGTCTGGCCTGTGCCCAGGGAAAACAGACCAAGGGAGTCCAGTCGAAGAGAGATACAGGCGCGAATTCGCCAATCGACGCGATCGGGGGAGTCATTTGTTCGGACCTTAAGGGTCCCATGACCCCCCGAGATCGTTTGGGAAATCGTTACATGGTCAACTTCATCGACCACCGTTCGAGTTACAGTCGAATATTTTTGGCCAAGTCGAAGGATGCAGCCGCGTCAAAGTTCAAGCTCTTCATGGCAAACTTTGAGCGCGAGTTCAATTGCAAGGTTCATGTCTTACGCACCGATGGAGGTGGCAAATACAAGACACTCGATATTTTCTGCTCTTCGGAAGGCGTCTTGCGTCAAGTAAGCGAGGCCAAAAATCAAGCAAGCAACGGCAAGGCTGAACGGATGCACCGCACCGTCATGAACATGGTGCGGAGTATGATCTTTGCATCAAACCTGCCGCTCTCATTTTGGGGTGATGCTGCAATGTACGCCTCGTACATACTGAATCGAAGCAAAACCAAGTCCAACCCCGGATGTGCATCGCCCTTGGAGATCCTGACAGGCAAGGCTCCCGTGCTGACAGACATTGTGGCCTTTGGTTCAACATGCACTGCGCACAGAGACCCGAAGAACAAGTCACTCGGTGAACGAGGCAAGGCGGGCATCGTCATTGGGCGAGGCAGCGAAACGAAGGTATACAAGGTGTACATCCCAGTGGATAAGGTGGTCGTGGTGACTCAACATGTTCAAAACATTGAAGCACCACAGGATGACCAGGATGAGAGAAAGACCTGTCTAGACATGGCACGACGTCAGAAGGAGCCAGGCCCTGATCATCAGGCGGATGAAGAAGATCGGCAAGATGGTGTGAAACGTGCGAAGCAGGTCAGAAAAGGTCGAAAGTCGACATGGACCAGAGAGCGACATGGGACAAGATCGACAACGTCAAGTCAACCAAAGGTGGTTGAAGTGGACACCTCGGTGGACGGTTGCGACATCGTGAACGCGATCGTCGAGCAAGACCCGAAGCACTATGGTGAGGCAATGAAGAGTGGACAACGCGACCAATGGCAGGTAGCCATGACCGAAGAATTGGACGCACTCGAGGCGAACGACGTCTGGAAGATCGTAGTGCCACCAAGAAATGCACACGTGTTGCACAACAAGTGGGTTTACAAAGCCAAGACCGACGCGAACGGAGATATCGAGCGATACAAGGCTCGACTAGTGGTTTGCGGAAACGAACAAGTCTTCGACATCGACTACAACCTCACGTTTGCGGCCGTCATGGACTTAGTGACCGTCAAGCTAATCCTTGTGCTCTCGAAGCGATGGAACGTTCCCGCACGTCATGGGGATGTTCCGAACGCCTACGTTAAGGCAGAAAAGGAGGAGCATCTAAATATCTTCATGAAGGTTCCAAAAGGCATGCAAATCACTAAGGAGGAACTTCAAGGTTTCGGTGTGGAATCTCCTGGTGAGGTCGCGCTGCTGTTGAAGAAATCGTTGTACGGACTAAAGCAAGCAGGTAGACTCTGGAGCAAGCTATTACACTCCAAGCTGACCGAGAATGGCTACAAGCAGTGCACGACGGACATGTGTCTATACTACAAGCACCAAGGTCAAGAATGGACCATCGTCGGAGTATACGTGGACGATCTTCTGGTCACGGGAACCAAGCAGTGCGCGGTTGATGAGTTCTTTGCGGGCATGGAGACACTGTCGATCAAGGATCTCGGCGTCGTTCAGAAATTTCTGGGACTCAGGATCTCTTTGGATGACACTCAAGGATACATTCTGGACCAAGAGGTCATGATCGACGTGTTGCTCAGGGATTTCAAGTTGGAGTCGGCGAACGGTGTGCGAACGCCAATCGGAGATGAATGCAATGATGATAACAAGGATGATGTGGACTATCTACCCGCGAGAGGTGCAAGCGGTGAGACAAGTTTATGTGCCTTTCAATCCTTGGTCGGGAGTCTGCTATGGATCGCAAGATGCACGCGGCCCGACATATGTTTTGCAGTGCATAAGGCAACTCGTCAAACACACAAGCCAACCACCAAGGACTGGAAGATTGCGAAACGCATTGCAAGATACTTGAAGGCGACAAAGAACTTGAGGTTGCACCTGAACGGCAACGGACCGACTCAACAAAATGTCAAGATTGAATGCTGGAGCGATGCAGACTTCGCCGCGGACAAGGCGGACCGTAAGTCAGTGTCTGGATACGTACTAACATTGGACGGTTCTGTTGTTTTATGGTCGTGCAAGAAGCAGTCAGGTGTGTTGCTGAGCACTATGGAGGCGGAGTTGATATCCTCATCCCAGGCAGGACGCGAATTGCTGGGTGTGAGGGAACTACTGCTGGAGCTAAAGCTGCAGGTATGCACGCCGATGCCTATGTGGATGGATAATCAAGCGGCGATCAAGCAACTCGAGGGAGAGAAGAGCACAACGAGCGCGAAGCACGGGGACATCAGGTTTAAATTCATCTGCCACTACGCGCGTGAAGGAATTGTGATGCCCAAGTACGTCAAGACTGAGATCATGATGGCGGACATTCTGACGAAGTCCTTGCCAGCGCCGAGAATGGAGGAGCTACGCAAGATGTTCAACTTGAGGACGATTCAGGCTGAAGTCGAGGAGGAGTGTTAGAAGATATAGCTTTTAACAGGTTACGTCGGTGTAGTGGCAACTGCAAGACCTGTTACAGGTTTAGGTCGACCTCACCTGATTGGTCGGCAAGTTGACGGTGGGATGTGACAGGTTGACATATGGGACGCGAGAAGACGATCGTCATGTTGGACTATCAAAGACAGATGGTAGGAGAGACAGAGACATACAGACGTCATATGGAACCAGGACCAGCACATGGGATGGGCACGCTGGACGTATGCCAAAGTACAACTTGACCAGGTCAAGTTGCAGTGCTGGTGCAAATACATACAAATAGGGTTGACTAGGGAGAATAGTTAAGCACCCAATATATTTCACTTTTACTTCCTACATCCTTTGCACAAGTGCAAGAGTTACCAACATCTAACATTAACATCTATGGGTGAGTCTAAGCTCAAGTCGATACCGATCCATTTACACCTTTCGAGTGCTTCGCTGGGTTCATACTCGTGTACGAACACACATGATGGCAATCAAGACGTGAATTACTCCTCTTCTGTCAGCGATACATATCCGTCCAGCATGGACCAATCTCGAAAGACCGAGAAAGGAGTATCGTAAATCCATGACGGCTTTGCGAGCCTACAAAATTGAGGCTGTAGATCAGAGGTGAACGGACCTTTGTTTCGTCATATCGAGTATGACACATTCGGGATGTCATACGAAGCAAGTACTGCGAGTTCTACGTGCAACTCCAACAAGCTGGCTCGAAGACCTAATGAGATAGTGCTGAATCCGACACAGTGAAAGCAGAGATTCTGCGGAGATGAGCTCGGAATCGCGTGGTATGTCGAAACCACGGGGCGGACATACATGTGCAAAGCAACATTCAGCGTTCGCGGTGGTCTGTTGGCGTCAGATCAATTTTGCTTGGCGTGTTAGCCCTAAGCTAGCCATTAGAGATCTGTTAAGGTTCAACGAAGCTCACTTACTCAATTCGTGGGAGGTTTCCAGGGATTTGTGGAGGCTGACGGTGGCGACGACAATTCAAGCCATCTGGTGTGCGCGACTTCGTCTCCGCCACGAGCCAGATGCGCTTCAATCGACATTGCGGGCGGTAATTTGCGTTACAGTAGACAATGCCTTGCGCGATTTGGTTTCATTGAGTTATAAATTCGACACGGATATTTTAAAACTTCCGAAGAATGCCGCTACCAGGGCGCTGGCTGATCGTCTCAAGGGGACGATTGACGGGACGATTCTCTCGCCACCGATTCGAGACCGGGCGCCTATGTGCTTTTTTTTATGGCGGCTCGCGTGGTAATCCCGGTCCAGGCGGATCCGGTTCGGTCATGGTCTGTGTTGATCTGGACACGCGAGCATCAGAGATTACCTGGGCGGCGAGCATGTCATATGCGCATAACAGCACAACCGACAACATGGCGGAATATCGGGGGCTTATTCATGGCCTCCGTCACGCTGAAACTAGACATCTCACACCATTGTACGTGGTCGGTGACAGCTCTTTAATTATCCAGCAAATGCGGCGGCATCGGCCTCCGCGTCAACCCCGATTCCGACAACTTTATCTCAAGGCGAGAAGATGTGCGGATAGCCTAGGAATCTGCGGGTGGTCTCATCACTACCGCGCGAACAACAAAATGGAAGACTTGGCTGCGAATATTGCGATGGACTCCAAAACGTCACAGCAAACGTGCGCTACTGACAATCGACCACTGATTGCAAGAGTGCAACGGTTTCTCCGCACTGACGTGCACGAGTGGCAGGCATTTCCTCCAACACATACCCCGGGTCCAAGTATTTCTGCTCTATCGGCGGTTGCTTCCTACGGTCGGAGGGTAGCTGTATAGCCCCTGTTTTTTTTTCATAGCTTGGCGGTGTAAACCCCCATCCTAGCCATTAGAGATCTTTTAAGTACCTCAATGAAGCTCACTCACTCAATTCGTGGGGTTTCAATCGCTCTTATTCACCAGGAATACTGTTCACGAGCATCAACTAACGCGCTCAAAAGTGCTTGGTCGGAACGCAGAAAACGAACTAAGTCGACTAAGCGTCATCTAAAACTGTTTTACTCGCACTACCTAATGCCGTTCATCCGCGTTCTTGAGACCTCCACTTAGTTTTCCGAGTTCTCATCAGTCCTGACGTCAGATACATCAAATCGATTCCATTCGTAATCGCCTTGCTTACGCGAGGCTACTCTAGCACATTCGCATAGAATACGGATCGTCTACGACACGATTATCGATGACATGGGCTAACGCTGAAAACCCGACTACGGCCTGAATGTAGCAATATTGACTGTGAAGTTGTTGTTGAGCTGTCCCAACGACTTACGTTTTGTCTGTGCGTATGAAGCGTCGTCCACTGCCGTCATCAAAAGAGTGGGTGTATTCTTGCCACGTCGTATTCTTTGTGACGGTGCTGTAGCGATCACGAAGTTATTTGCGCGAAGAACAAAAGCGGTGACTGCAGAAATGGGACAGAAACGGCAGTCTAGATCGTAGAGACGTAACACAATGACAGATAGAACGAAGAAGAGGAGTACGATCAAGATAGTTGTACGCCTGCGATGCCTGCAGAGTATCTATTTGCAGGGCCGAAAGTTCTCGGTGGTGATCTTATGCTTGACGGATGCGCTGTAAACTTAGATGAGAGCACATGCCGAACATCTCAACGCTTGACGTGCGCATGTCCGTGTTTCGTGCGTCGATTAAAATTCTGTGTACAGCGTTAGCAGAAGTTGTGTGAAGTCGAATGGTTGTCATTTTGCTTACGGTTGAAGTTGTGTTTGTGATAGTGGCATGCGATATGCGAAGGACGAAGGTCAATTTCAGTAAGAAGAAGAGCTTTTTGACGAGTTCACGTGATAATTAGGCGTGTTGCATGTGCGGTTACAACGGCATGTTGAACGGCACGAATCCTCTTAACGTAATGCTGATTTCATCTGTGTTTCTTTTATGGACCGGTCACGCAACAATTCAGCGAGACGCAGTAGCTGCTGTTGGCGTAGATGCCATGGTCTTTCATCTGCGGCACGCGGCTGCTTGTCTACTCACTGTTGAATTGATTCTTAGCTACACTGAAGCCGAATCGACGAATCAGAACGCGGATCGATTGTACACGTGCTTCGGCAACCATGCGACAGTACCCTTATCTTCGTTTTATGTGCTCTTGCTGTAGATAACAATACACACAGTAGGAAACGATAGTTGGTAATGTGCCAGGTTATAACAATGATGCACAAGCACCGAGACGGGGTCGATTTACAAACCATGTAGTCCACTGCCACTGAAAAAACCAAAGCCGTGAGAAGGAGTTCTCATCGACATTGTCACTTCGTCTATGCTGTTCCGATGGCATTCGCCTCCAGGCATTCAATGTGGGACGTTGTGCTACTCGTCTGGATGCTAATGCCATTAACCGTGTGGGCGAAGCTGGCATTTCGACTCACTCGATGATACCTGCAACAAGATGTGATACTCTGTAGTCTGCAACAATGAAGGTGCTGCGTGTTATATACAGAGGACCTCGTGGACAAAGTAATTTCGAACAAGTTGTGCGTAAGTCGATGCGGTAGAGTAAATACACCGCATACCGCACGCTACCCACTGTTGGCACCATATACGCCACCAGCCGCGCAAATTCACTAGACTTCTGGTCGACGACATCTCAAACAGCGTCTCCCCTGTCTTCTGTTCCCCGTCGACTTCGAATCTAGATCCTTTTCCATCGTTTTGGAGTCGTTATCATGTATCGATTTTGTAAGAAACTCGTTTTGCGATGTATGTATGCAATCAAAAGCATCGCAGCCTAAATTGTAAAGGAGGTCGAGTGTCCATTCGCAAAAGTGAGAGCTCCGTGGCGCTTCCCTTTGCAAAACTATCGCTACGTAAGCAAGTGGTTTACATAAAGTGCACTTGCTCGTGCGTATTGTGCACTTACCGAATCCCTTATGAGTCAGGCCACGGATCGTGTCACAGTCATACGGATCATGCACAGTATTTTGAGACGCATTCCATTTTGTGTTGGCTAAAAGCAAGCACTTGATCGGCACGTAAAGTGAAATGCTGATGGGGTAGGAGGTTGAAGGGAGGGAGAGAAAGCGATGCGTTTGCTCAGCGCCCCCTGACCGTCCATACATCCGAAGGAGATTATTGATCAGATTGGTCGTTCAAAAAAATTTCAGTTTGTTATGCGAGCTTTCTATCGATACCCAAAAACAATTTGCGAGCTCTAAGAGTGAAAATATTAGTGACTGTGCGCCAGGTGAATGCCGAACTTTTTATTCGTATGTATCTGTGTCTGTGCGTCTGTGTCTGTGTGAGTGTCTGTAAATAACGTGGCTAGGTGTACCCCGCGCGAACTAAGTGCGACCTAGCCTGTCCCCCCTCGTAGGTACATAGGCATATCCAGAGTCACTCTTTGGCTTGGTCAATATTGTGTCACACGCTTGTTAATGGCTTATAATCGGTCAATAGTGATTATGGTCACACAAGTAAATGCTAGACGCTCATAAGCAAAGGCTGATCCGCGTTGCTCTAGTATGACTGTACGAGATTGTTAACATAGCACCGTCTACTGCTTTTTATGTTCATGGATAGGTTTGGAAGAATCGAGAAGGACTGGCTGAGAAGAAGCACAGCATGACGTCATCGGGTGACGTCACAAGGAGAGCTTCTTAAACCTTCTGGAAGATCTTGAGAAGATCGAAGGGTGTTGATTGGTCTAGATAAACCAGTGAACATTCTAGAAGATCTTGAGAAGATCGAAGGGTGTTCATTGGTCTAGCTAAATCAGTGGGACTGATATAGTTTGTCTAAGTATAGGAAATGAGTGGCTTAGAGGTAGCGAAGCAAGTTTGCGAACTAAGGACCATAAATATATTCACTTCACAATTTGCCTTCGCCTGCGCACATCAACATCAACAGGTTAACAGCCGCAACGCGCTCCAAACCGCCAAGCCACCACGTCCACCATGACAAACAAGCGGTGTGAAGTCCTCCTGAATAGTGGAA